CAGGCTTTCTTTCTATGGTGAATATGAAAGCATTGAGCTGTTTGGCAGCTCAATCTTGGTCGTGAAAGAACTTCCCATACAGCATAAAAATATTATGAGAATCCACCTTTATCCTCCCGTGTCTCTGCGGAGCATCATTAAATTTAATTCCTGGGTACTCGGAGTTGAGCCTGTCTCCTTGCTGGCCTTTATATACTGCTCCTCTACACCTTGGCATAGGGCAGATTCAGGTTGGGGACCCGGAGCCTGCAGCCAGCCCCTGGTCTGAGCAGAAATGGATTTTTCTGAATCAAAGCCTAAACCTGGGCTAAGGGAATTACAGTGATTTTTCACTGGATTTTCCTGGGAGCTGGGTACTTAATTATCCTCAACAGCTTTGAAAATCACAGAGTTGAGCAAGACTGTGGTTTCTCTGCCCGCCTGACCCACATGGGGTTTCTTCTCCTCTTGGCCCCTTTTGGTGGAATATTTTGATTTGTTTCATAGCTGGAGAACAGGACAGCTCTTGCTGGAACACAAAGTACAGACCAGATGTGCAAAGTTTGAGGCATATGGGCAAAAGTTAGCTCCTTCAGCTGAATAGAGGATAATTTGTTGTAAATATATTTAACGTATTATTCAGAGAACGCTGCAAGCCTTAGGCCTGAGACAAAGGCAGGAAAACACTCCACTTGCTGCCACATAAAATGGCTTAATTTGAACTGAAACCTTGCTGTGTGTGAAGTGCAAAGAGCAGATTACCTACTGTTTGATGACATTTTGCCCAGAATGATTTAAAAAGGCAGTAGAGCCTTTTAAAAATACTAATTAATGCTTTGGTAGAGGTAACTTGTAAAATTTTATTTTTTTTCATGTCACAGTGAAAAGTTTTAAATAAGCAGCCCCTGGGCTGGGCTGGCTAGAGGAAAAGCTTCCGTGGATGCATGAGAAGCCTCTTTGCTGCTGATCAGGAGGAGATGGGGATAATAGGAGATTCCCTATTAGTTCACTAGTTAATAGGGAATGGGAATTCCCTATTACAAAGGGTGTATAAAGACGACTGTGGTGCAAAGTGTGACACTGGGGGGCCTTTTTGCTCTAAATGTGTAGATTCTGATAGAAGGTTGTTGGGGAAAAAGCATTCTCTGCATCAAGGTAGGCTTTTCCCTCCTGTGAGCTGTGGGGTCTGGCCCCCCAGAACCAAATGGATGGTCTCGGAGAGGAAAATCCAACCTAAACACAGATGTTAATTTGAAAGAAAACATAACACTATGTACATAACGAAGTGCTTGGCAAGCTGAAGGAAAACAGCATTTTGTATTGTTATTATTATTTAACATATAAATAAAGGCCTCCCTGGACTGAAATTGAATTTCAGCAGCCTTTCTGGAGGCAATTAAAACCATTAGCTTCATCAGCCAAGGCCAGTGTTTTAATGTCTCTGAAACACTCCAGCTGCCAAAGTTAATTATTCATCCTTTCCTTAATTGGATTCAGACTGTATTTAAGGGTGCAGCTTCAAAAGGGCTGGCTGAGCCTTAGTTTCTCATCCCCCTCTCTCCTCCCTTCCCTCTGCCCCACCAGAAATGATTCAGAAGTTGTTTCACTGCATTGTAGAGGAGTTTTCAAACTCATTTCAGCCTCGGATGGCAGCTGATTATCTCACAGCATCTCGGGCTTTCAGTGGGTGAATTTTGGAGCTGTTATTTAATAGACATGCAAATACTTTCAGGATCAGATATGACAACCCTTGTTTCAAGTGTTATAACTCAGCTCTTCCTCTGATGTGTTGCCTCTAAGGATGGGCACAGTGGAATATTTTGCAGTAAGTAACAAAAAATGGTTTTTTACTTCCCCACAATGCCATTTTCCTTGGAGAGAACCCAAAGTACCCCCTCTGCCAAGAAGATATGGGCTCAGCTGACTCAGAGAAAAGAGGAGAAAAGGAGCAATAGGGCAATTTTCGTGCAAACCAAGGGGTAGGTGGAAGGGGCCGTGGAGCATCGCTCCAATGCTTCGAGCTGCCCTGTTGCTGCTGCATGTTTCTATATCCCGCTCAGCTTTCTGATGGTTGTCTGTGTTGTGTGATTCATATGGTTGCCAGTTACTGTTATAGAAGTGAGTAGGTTTCCTGATCTAGCTCTGTATTAAACAGTTTTTCATGTACAACTTACTGCAAATCTTTTAGTCACAACTGACCTTTTCCAGACTCTCTAGTCATGGAAAGTACCATCCCATTATAATAATATATTTTCATCTTCTGGTGCAATATTTTTAACTGAGGAGTTAGATGTCACTCATTTCTCATCACTAAAAACATCATAAAATAAAAATATATGTTTGGAGCCTGAACTCCAGGATCATTTCTCAGGCCATCTGGTTGTGTGTTTCAAAAATTAAAATGCTGGGCAATGCACTAACTTATTTTGTGAGTGAGAACTAGGGTAAAACACTAGACTATAAGATTTCAGATGAACACAGCTAATGAAACTGTCAGATTTTTGTCCATAGTATTAATGAGGCTTTCCAGGTAAAAATTGTCAAATATAAACAAAATAGGTTAGGTTTTTATCTGGAACATGAGTTTTTCTTTTGACTGTTTGTCAAAAATGGAAGCTATGAAACAGTGTTCTTGACTACTGACACTAATGACTGCATGAGCCTCTTCCTCCTGTTTGGTTTTATTGCAGAGTTAAAGAATGTCCTATGCAGTCAAAGGAGCAAAGCCTTTTAGAAGCAAAGAATTATTTTTGTGGATTAGGAAAAAAGTCAGAATCGGGCTCATAAGACTACATCACAGATTGTTCAGTGTTTTATCCAATGCACTTTAATGCTATTGTCATCACTCATAGCATTAGTGTCTGATTAGCGTTTTTGTCCTGCCTACAATGTCATCCATTTTTATAAAATTGGCTTCTTGTATCAGGCCCTTAGCCTGAAAGATTTCAAAAAGACAACATGAGGTAAGAAGATTGTGGTTAAAACCCATAGAAAGAACCTTCTTAGATGCATGCTGGTAATGACAGAAATTAGTTTTGAAGGGATGCTTATGTGATTATCCTTTTTTTTTCTTTGGCTTTTTTTTTTCTCTTTTTTTTTTCCTCCCCTTCTTTCAGAGCTGTAAAAGCTGTAGGACTTGTAGGACTACAAGTCACCCAGGGCAGAAGTGGCTGTGTGTCTGAGCAATCAGGAAACAAGTCCAAGCTTTCTGAACATACATATCCCTGATGGAGATGAGGAAATCTCTGATCTCTAATGAGGAAATTGCTTCTAAACTGTCCAGCACATCCCACAAGTTATTTCTGTTTCAGGATTAGCCTGAAGAACAGTTATGCATGGCTCCTCCGGGGCATGACGGGAGATAAGGGCTCCGGTCCATCACACAGAACTCTTTGTCTCCGTAACTGATGCTATCCAAGTCAGTGACAAGAAATGTGTCTCTGCCTGAGAGAGAAGAAATACTAAAGAGCTGCATCATATTTCCTAGGAACGGCAATGCCATAGCAACAGTTGTCTTTCACGGCCACTGCGTTGCTTAATAGTCCTCAGATTGCTGGGAGAGCTCGAATCTCTGTGCTATAAAGCTTGCTGCACAGGGGTTGATACAGTTGGCAGATAATTGCTATAAAAATATGTGTGTACACCACAGAGTGTTACTGTCTGTATTTAAAATGATTTTTTTTGGCATGACCACATGACATTTTATCTCTTTGAAAGGAATTTTAATTAAAGTTTATTGGTAGGGCTGGTTGGGCTTGATAATCTCTGAAATTCATTTTTTTGGGGGGGAGACTCAGTATTATTTGGGTTTGGGGAATAATACGTAAGGCAAAACTGCGAGAAAGGATTGTTTTTTATTAGCTGCTGTTATAGTAAAAATAAAAGGGGGGGGGGAATATGCTGTTTCTTTCAGTATTTTTTTCAGAATGAATAAATATTTTGAACAAGTTTTCAGCTAGGAATTTAATTTATAGTGAAATGAGGTTGAAATAGAAATGCAGTATTTCAGACTTATCAAAAATAAAACTTTTGATTGACCACACTTTTTTTTCCAAACGTTCAGTTTATGAAAATGTCAACTCTATCCAAATGCAAGTCAGGATAAATGTTTGAAAATACTTCCGAGATGAGAGAACTTTTCCCAGCTTAGCACTTTTCTACTTATTATATATTAATACTGCCTGGCTCATGATGTTAGGTGTGGCTTTTTTTTGTCATTCTTTAAAGGAGTGCTTGCATGGAAAGGAAAGCATACATTCTGAGTAATCCAGGATAAGCTACACCATGTCCCACCCCTTTGAGTCTATTCAGGTTTTACCATGGATTCGCTGAATGGCTGGCTCAGTGGAACTATGGATTAAATGTCTATGAAAACCAAATGCCTTCTACAAAAGGTGGCTCTAGGTAACGCCCAGGGCTGAGACCGGAGGGCCCCATTTGGCTCCTTTGTGGCAGGTCCATCCCGGTGTTTTCTACTCTACGTGTCGGTCCAGCTCCTTTAACAGGCACTGCAAACATTAAATAAAAGAAATGGGCTATAAATGGCCCATGACTTATGGGTTACCTTTGCCTGTCAGTCCTCACTGTTGTGAAGAACTCCTGGTATTTGCACAGTGATGTAAATTATTGCAGCCTGGCAGTGTTAGCAAAGTGCCCACTGCGCCGTAAAGCACCCAGTGCTGATGGATGCCCAACAACCTGCGCCTTTTTGTGCTATCTAATCTCAGACATGACACTATCGGAGCAACAGGGTTGAAGTTAACTTATTTTGAGGAAACACTGACTTGTGAGATGTAAGAGAAAAGCAAAAGCACTTGGGAAGCTGAATGCCCTGGCTGCTTGACTTGCAGCTCAGAGAAGAGCCTTCATTCCCCGTGCTAGAAACAGCAACAGACGATCACTAACATCACCTTATTTATAAGGGGATGGAGGAGGAAAGTGTACGTGCAGGGTGGCATATTTGGGGCTCTGTAGTATAATAAATCAATAGGTTTTTATTTGCTTTTTCTCCCTGTGTGCAGCTAACAAGAGAACACCAGATGGCCCTCTCCTCCATCACTTACCTTGGCTGCGCTCTGTCCATCTTCTGCCTGACGATCACGCTCGTCACATTTGCTATATTGTCGTGAGTAATTTTACCTTAATACCTGCTGAGCAACTGTGGTATGGAAAGCCTAGCAGTGTATTTCAGGTCGCTGGATTGCATCCCTTCAGGTCCTCTGAATAAAGCAAAGGCTATTATTTCTAAAATCTCCCTAATTAGATTCTACACATGCATTTGTAACAGTTGGTTGGTTATTTCTAAATTACTTTAATTTCCTGAAATGGGATAGTCTTTATATAGCAAGCTATTTACGTACTATGTGGGATTTTTTAGCGATTTTTTTAAAATCTCTTCCCCATAGTGCTACAGTTCAAGGATCTTGTAAGGGGGGGAGCTATAAGCGAGCTCCAGACAAATACAGTATTACAAGGACAGCAGGAGTTTGAGGCCCAGCTAGTAGGGTTTTTTTCCCTGAAAAAACTTTCATTAATTCTCTATCCAAATTAAAAAGAGAAAATCTGAAAGTGAAGGAATTTGCCCAAAGTTGCACAGCAGATTGGGACACAGCGAAGAATGCTTCCTATCTCCTGAAGCATTAAGCCATTTTCCTTATTCAAATGTCCAGGTTTTGATGTCTGTGCCCAAGCATGTCTTTTGCACATCTGCTAAGAGGCAGTTTTTTAGAAAAAGGGGCCTGCTGCAATTTGGTAAAGTAATAGCAGTGTTTGTTTCAAAAATAGGATTATTTCCAAGACTCCAGATCTGTTTTGGTCATACTTGGATTTGGTGTCATGTGTGGCAAAATCCACTCCAAACAAGTCCCAAAGTCTGCTGATGTGGCATTGGGCTAGTGGCATGTTTAGGCTACAGGGAACAATCTGCTCCATTTCTGTCCGCGTGGAAAATTGCAGATGTTAGTGCTTAAAAAGGAAAGGAGCAAAGGGAGCTACAGCCGAACGGACAAACTCTCAAAGAAACTGGAGACAAACAGAAGATTTGGAAGGAGAATTTGGACAGTCACAGGACTTAGCACCCCTCATATATGTAGGGTTGATTAAACTGCCAATTAAAAAGGAAACAAAATTTTGCAATGTGGTGTTAGAGGTCAGTGAGGTAAGTGCAGAGGAATCTGGCAATTTCTGGGCTACTCTGCAGCCTGGCAAAGGCAGCAGTTTCCAAGAGCGTGGCCCTGGTCACCTCCTGGGTACGAGTGTTCCAGTCTGTGACCGCGTGAAGCTCCGTATTAGAAAGTCATTGGCACCAGGCAGCACAACCCGTCTCTTTGAATCACTCTGAGGGCATCAGGACTTCTTGTCTTTTCATGTTCCTCTTCACTCCCTCGTAACGAGGCTCTGCTAAAGCACCGCTGGAAGAGGGAAGCTGACAGCAAGCCATCATCTGCATCAATCTGGGTCATCCTGCTGCAGAGGCCACAGATGGGGTGTCAACAGCACTGGCAAAAGTCATCTCAATTTCATGAGATGCAAAGAACAGACAGGAGTGGGTAGTGTTGTGCAGAGGAAGCACGGTATTCATGGAGCCAAACAGTCCAGGCCTCCTGATAACAGGGGCTGGCAGAAAGTATGAGTTGAAACCAAAAGTCTGTGTTACTAACACTTTTCTTTTTTTTAAAGAATATAATTATGCATAAGGTCTGAAATGTTCAGATAATTCAGATAAATGTTTTTGTTTTCTGGGTGACAACAGAAGCGAAAGGTCAGAATACTCGGAGGAAAACATGTTCTTGTCTGATTTCAGCTGGTTTTTGCAAATCCAAGCGAGATAGGTTCAACGATGTTGTGCTCAAGGTAGGCACTGCACAGACCTGTAAGTTGCTCCAGTGTCTGCACTCAGAAACTGATGATAGTCAGGTCAAAATTGTAACCCGATTCTCTTCAGGTTCACTCACATCTAATATAAGCAAATGCCAACAAAACACTAAGGAATTCTGCAGTTCTGTGTGGGTTAGTTTCTGCAAGGTGCAGAATGTTTTACACAAAGTGCAGGTCTGATTTCATTGAGAGTACAGCACTGTTCAGGATCAAACCTTTTCTAATTATTCTATCCCAAGGTGCTAGCAGAGCTAGTTAATGTGTAAATCAGTCTTTCTACTGCATTCAGTACTGTGACAAACTATGCAAGAAACTGGTTAGCTAGCAAGAACCTGACTCCATCGTGGTGGCAGAAGCACTCAAGAGACTTTGTGATAGCCCCACCAAAGCAAATGAACAAACAGTTATCAAAATACTTGAAGGTAAATCATAAATATGTTAGTGCTTCTTGGAATGTTGTTTTATTCATATGTCTTTTCATCTTTTGTCAGGTCTGTCAGCACCATCCGCAACCAACGCTATCACATCCATGCCAACCTCTCCTTTGCTGTCCTGGTGGCTCAGATCCTGCTTCTCATCAGTTTTCAGTTCAGCCCTGGAACAGTAAGTGCTAGAAGGAGTGACTGTGTTTTCTGGCAAGGCATCTCCATGGAATGAGTCCCACATGCTGTGTGCAAGAAAGTGTCTCCTGGAAGATCTCCCATTTGTAGTGTGTCTAAACCATAAATGCCAACCCACAACACTGGATAAAGCCTTTTGCATATCCAGTAGTTTTATCATAGTGCACAATACAAACATCGTGAAAATGAAGGCCTATTTTATGCTACAGGCTTGCTTTCTAAAGTGAAACCATCCACGGAATCCATGGATATTCCAGTTCTGCCATCTCTGTAACATCATAGTTTTATGGGAACAATGCTGTGAAGATCATGAAGATGCCACTTGTTACTTTTATTATTCAATCCCTTCAGTTTGGGGTGTTTGATTCATCTTTTTGTTAGTCTTGTGTCTTCACCTCCCGCATACCAGAGTAATATAGTATAGTATAATATAGTATAGTATAAACCTACTGTGAAAACACACTAGTTTTCACAGTAGGTTTAATACCTTTGATACTTCAGTTGGTTGGATAATGATTCTTCAGTAGAGCAGGAATAATTTTTAAACTTCTAACTACAAAACTCTGAAGTTATTTCCATGAATAGGAGTAATTTCTTTCTAAGAAATACAGGAATGTCTGTTGTTTACTTTTTTAGAAAAGCTTGTCCTTTACACCTAATATCAGTACTGCTAAAACAGTAGTCCTGAATGATCACGGCACATTCCAGTAAGACAGTTATTTCTGAAACCAGGTGATTTTTCTTCTAGAAATAGAAAATATCTGCACATGCAGCATCTTTTCCTATACTGACAAGCCCATAAGACATCTTTGCAATCCAAATGCCAGTCTAATGACTTCCCTAGAGCTTTCAGCCATAAATAGATTTGTTTCTTCAGACAGATTCACGTTCTTAGTGACATTTATTTTCCTGTTTTACTATAGACCGGAGAACACTGGTTTTATTTAATGGAATGTTAACAGCAGTGTGCATTTAAGAAAAGTTAACTAGCAGCATTTTATAGGCTATGAGGAAAAGCGAAGACGTGAACTTGTTTGTGAGAGAAAGTGAAGTATTAGACATAGGAAATGAAAAGTGGAATTGTTTGGGGTGTTCTGTAGCACTGTGTTTTGTTGGCAAAGTCAATGTGTCTACTCTTTGCAGTTTTGCAATTAGTATATTGAACAGTTTCTGACTCCATGCCCCTATATGGTGCTCCCATAAATGTGGGAAGGGGAACTTACGGTTCCAGACAGAGAGACAAAATGAGCTACTTTTTTAATGCTACAAGTATCTGCAGTAATTCAAGACTGTGTCAGATCGTATAGACTTAATGGGAGGACATTTTGAGAGAGCTCTGTGTAATGCAGTAACATAGACACTCAAATTGAAAACACTGTTTTAAATTGAATTTAGAAAATGCATGCAAATTTACCTGCTTTAAGGCTGTCCTTAATGTATGCTATTTTCTGGGGGGTGATGCTGAGTGAGTGTGTTACTTTCTCAACAATCATTACTATGATGGGCCTTGCTAGTGGCTGCTCTGTTTTTTCCAGTTTTCACTGACTTCTGAGCAGTAGCAGTAATGAGAACTGTCTTTTTGCAAGTATCCTGCTATAAGTAGTGTGCGTTGCGCGCTACAGCAAGGGACACCAGTTTTCCTTTAATGTATCATGTCTCACATTTTCAGTGCCTTTTTCAGTGTATAATGCCTCACATTTTCAATGCCTTTTTCTGTCAGAATGTCCTCAAATTAATAGGTAAGACATTAATACAGAATTAGTAGCAACTTAGCCATTGATTCTATATAAAAATCTGCAACTCAGTATTACACAAAATTATATGCAGATCAGCCTCCTGCTATTGCACTGCATTTTATATTTCTCCTCTTTCATGATGCATGTTGTTTGACTATTCAGAAAATGGAAAGTAGCCATTTGACAAGACTAGCTTTATGCTGTATTTATATTGTATGGACTAATCTTCCTGTAGAAATCAAATGGCATCAAAATGGATTTCATGGCCTTATGATAAAATTAACTGGAATTCTTTTTCCTGTTTTTGTCAATATGCAAATCTGGCTTAGTTATATGTCATTGAACATTTCAAAATTGTAAAACACTTACAGATCTTCCCTATATGAATTAAACCCCAAGTTATTGCTTTTTAATACATGTAAACACAATGGATTTGCACTGGAATGTTCCTGCACCAGCACAGAACCAGCTGAACACAATGAAAAGGTACTGGGAGGCTTTAATTTTCATTACACTACCCAGTCCCAAGGTTTTAATTTTCATTACAGGGCCAAGTCTCAAGCCATCCACGGAAAGAATAAAATGCACCTAAGCTCACACATGAAGGGAACTACTAATTAACATTCGAAGGCACCACTGCAGCAAACTGATTCCTACTTGTAATGCCCAGAAACCCCTCAATTCCAGCTGCAGGAATACCTTAGGTGTGATTTTTCTAGATTAAGAGGAGAAATGGTGAAGGATAAAAACAAAAAGAAAGTCTTCCCATTAGTATGGTCTGCATACAAGCAACCCTTCTGAAATTGTGTGTGTCACAGAAGGACACATACAAAGCAGACTGATCACCAGCTGGGTGCGAGTTGATGCAGACCTGAGATACAGCTGCAACTTGTTCCAAGGAAGGGTTTAAAGTGGGTCTTAACTGAAAGCCAACTAAACAGTTATCTTGTGGCACGATCCCTTGCAATCACATCTTCTCAATGACTGCACGACGAGTGAAACCACTTGTGGTGAGACATCCTCAAAAAGCAATTAGTGGTAAAAGGAGAATATGCTGTGTGAATACAGGAGGTGTGGGCAAAGAGGAAGGATTAGATCTTACTGTTTGCATTAGGGAGGTTAACAGGAGACTTAGAAAAAAATATATAACAATTTCTTTGAGGAATAAATGGAGAGTGCTGCTATGACAGCCCTTGGGGAAAAGCCAGGCATTAAACTTAGTCATGCATCATTCCCTGTAGTCATAAGGCCACAAGCATTTCTGGGGCCAGGCCTAAGCCTGACTCAGGAGGAATTTTTTCCTTCTCTCTACACTGTCTTTGTGCTGGCATTCCTTGATGTGTTGAGGCAGCGTTTATTTCACTTCAAAACATTTTTTTTTCTAACTTAAATTGAAGCAGATGTTCCAGTTCAGTTGGACTCCCTCACTGGATGGCATTTCTCTGTTGCTTGAGCTTTCTTATTAGTTTCTATTTCCAGAATTTCAACAGCTCTTTGTACAAAAAGAGACTATCAAGGAGGATTCAAATTGTCTGTAAAGAGAAGAGTTTCAGTTCTCTGCCTTAATCACTAGATATGCTCCTTTCAAGTAAGGCTTTGAATACGTACTCCAGGCTATAGGAAACAGGGATTCCTAACAGGCAAACTACACAACCAACAAAGAGCAGTTAGGGTTTGAGAGCTAATTACAGCTTATAGAATTTTTTTAAAAATGGTTATATTAGTATTGCTGATGGAGAAGCAAATGAGACTTTCACTGAATTTCCTACCTGGGCAGAGAGAATTGGAATACAGTAAGATTTAATTTGTGAGTGATCCTATTTTTAATCAGAGCAGCAAGTAGGGAAGCTACTGGCAAAATGAAGTTAAAGATCAAGTTAAACATGGTACCGTATTTGAAAATTTCCATTTTTTCCTCAAACTTAGGTGAAATATTGACTTTCCAGTGTTGAAAAGGTAGCTTCAACGTTTTCCCCCATCACAGAATAGGGTATGGGACAGCATCTGGACCACTTCTTGGACCGCCGCATATTTGCTGTGTACTCAGCAGCAAATAGCTGAACCTACAATTTCAAATTCTTAAATCTTTTGTAGAATCTGGTAATAGTACTGCTTATGCACAAATAAACAACCCATTTGGCTTGTCATAGGAGGTTTAGCAATGTTTTTTGTGTTTTGATTGTGAAATGGTAAGAGAATTTGTCACTTCAAAGCTAGCTTAAAATGCTGCAGAAAAATAAACATCCTTTAGTGCTCTGTTCTTTAAGAATGTTTTACTCTAGTGCTGTAGTGTTTAGTATGTAAAAATTATTACAAAAATTGAAAAATCCTACCAAGTTGACTGCATCACAAAGAATTAACATTTATTTTTTGATTTGTGTTTAGGTGCCCTGTAAAGTCTTGGCCATTCTCCTTCACTTTTTCTTCCTGAGTGCTTTTGCATGGATGCTGGTGGAAGGATTTCATCTCTATAGTATGGTGATCAAAGTATTTGGGTCAGAAGAGAGCAAGCATTTATACTACTATGGAATTGGATGGGGTAAGCATTTAGTAGCTTGGTTTCAGGCTCCTCATCATGGGACAAGATTATATACGTAACCTAATCTCCTGTTTTTGTAGCATGCATGAAACTGAACTTCAGAATAGTTTTTAATAATGAATACAATGTGAATGTATTTGTCATGCCATGATTCCTGTCTCAGAGTTAGATCAAAATTGATCTTAATGATCATAGTTCACCTACCGAGAGTAGGTTTATTGGAGAAAAATAGGCATTTTTTGACTGTAATCAAGCTTTAAAATATATCGTTACTAAGCGTAATCCAACTGCGGTAGATTCCTTGACCTCACTAGGCCAGATCGGATCCTTGATAAGAAATTCAAGGAGTATGGAAGAGATCTCACTGCATTGATATATTTTTTCCTTTTTTCTTTTTGTTCTAACTCATAACACTGGCTTATTCTATCTGTATTCTGCAATCACTATACATACAAAATGGGCAGAGTATTTCAGGAGTGCCACAAGACTTCATTAGTTCACATTTTGTGCCTTGAAATCCCTAAGCGGAAGAGGCTGCAAAGAAGCTCAGCGTTATTATTAGGAATAAAAATGTGGTCCTACAATACAGAAATATAACAGAAAATAAGCTACAGCTTTCTAAATGCAGGAAACAAACCATATTCTCTCTTACCATCATCTAGATGTTGTCTAATTGCCTAGCTGAGCTGCAATGCCCTTTAGCCCCGAGTTAGTTTTACTGTTGATGGCAAACAATGTTTCTTATTGACCAATTTCTCTAAAAAGCAAGGTAATAACATTTTCACTCAGAACTATTGAATGGCTGATGCTCAGGGAATCTGGGCAGAGAGAGCACATTTTTAAGTTTTTCTATTCATATAATAGTTTTTGCCTTCTTTCCATTGTTCCCCTATGTCAACCCATAATCCATCTCACTCGAGCAGTAAAAAATTACTTCTGATTCAGACACTCTCACTGGAAAACAGGTTAAAAATGAACTTCACTGCACACTACCTCAGACTAATTCAGTCAGGAGACCTTGTTGGCCTTAACCAGGCACCAAGTTTGCTTTTGAGTCTGAATTTGCAAATGTGATAGAGGCTCGCAGGATAGAAACTTCATGGGATGCGTGTTTTGGAATGTAGTAATGCATTAACCTGCTAGTCCTAAAACGTCAGTGCTTATAGTGTACTGATTTAAC